CTCTTTAGAGGCAAAAAGTGAGATAGAGCTTCTGGGCCCGGGAACCGGACGGTGCTGGCAAGAGAGTAGTGGCCCTGCCTGGGGGGGTCCTGCCTGTCTTTTTATGGGGCTTCCCGCCTCACCATGTTCCCCCTCAGTCCGTGTCAGCCAGGTGTACACATGTGACCCAGTCTAAATGTTTTCTTCCTGATCACAGTGGCTGGTTGGGTCCGGGTGTATATACCCAGTTAGAGCCAGTAAGACTCAGTTCTGGGAGTTTTGTCAGAAATGTTGGAAAGAGAAATTTTCTCTCTTAGCTGGACTTGGACTTAGAAAGTTCTAAGTCTGAAGCTGCCAGAGGTCACCAGGGAAGGAGGCCTGCCTGAGAGTGGTGCCAGCAGGGAAGGGAATAGAACCAAGAGATAAGCAGAAAGAGGGATCGAATGCTGATGGCATCGTTTAAGCCCCTGAATCCAGCCATGCTTGAAGGCAGGCAGCCACTGGATACTTGGGTCATTACATTCCCTTTTGGACTTACTAGTTTGAGTTGGGTTTCTGTCATATGCAAATGAAAGAAAATTCCAACTAATATGCTGAGTTTTACAAACAGAAACATCTACACAAACTGAGTACCCTGTAGACTAAATGTGTGCTTTATGGCAACTTATTTTTCATAACATTTACTTATAAGACTAGAAGTTTTGCAAAATTATTATAAATCAATAAAAAATGTTAAAAATTAAAAAATATAAGACTAGAAGTTAACATATATTTATGGTCTAGGGTAGACCATGTACACATATGTGTGTGTACGCGTGTATGTGAAAATTCATCAAGAACACTTAAGAATTGTGCACATCTCTATAAATGTACTACTTCTCATTTTGAAAAAGAAAATGAAAAAGACCTGAACTGGAAGCCACAACAAAGACCCTTCTATTTCCCCAAGGGGCCATTATACCAGTTGAAAAAGAATGAATGTTTCTGGCTCACAAACATTGCCAACTTTCTTATACGTAGATCACAGAAAATCTGAATTGATGAAAGCAGAAACTAGGTGACAACAGAACACATCTGAATTGAATCATCTGTCTATGTGATGCTGTAAAATGAAACAGTTAGGAACCCAGGCCTCGGCTTCGGGTATAACTGGGTTTGGTTTCCATCTGCTGGCTATGCGGACTTGGGCAAGCGACTCAACCTCTCTGAGTCTGTTTCCTCACATATCCAATACTGATTAATAATAACAAGGGTTATTGTAAGGAAAGAACAAGATGAGGCACAAAAAGAGCTGGTACCAAGAGAGCATCCGCTGAACAGAAGCTTTTGTTTAGCACTATTTGGATTCGTGTGTAACATAAATATAGCTTCCACAAGACATAAGGGTTGGGAGACAATAAAAGTCAGGCCAGACGGTTAAAAAAAAAAGTTTTATAATAAAGAAGAGGGAGAAGTCATTCTACCGAATTCCTAGTTGGCATAGTGACTGTGATTGAGAACTAAGTTTTGCTGTGAGGTTCGTATTAGCCCAGACTGAAGGGGAATGACACCAGTTATCTAATACTCATTTCTCGTAAAAAAAAAAAAAAAAAAAAAAGAGAAAGTATACCAGGTTTTCAAGAGGGCCACGCTTCTTCCCGGATGAATTTCTGAAAAGAATGTATCATGAGAACCTTCCAAAGGGCTCCGATGACCACATAAGAAAGCCTGGGCTCAGGCGCATCAGCAAAGAGCCAGACACTCTAGCACCTCCAGGATGAGCTGCAGGGGTAGAGCTGGGGGAGGCTCTGGGTTCCCTGCAGGTCATTTTTCAAGATGAGCAGCCCCCTTTTAGAAAGGCAGAGGCGAGAGGGAAGGGTGGAGCTTAGTGGGAGAGCGCATGCTCAGCATGCAAGAGGTCCTGGGTTCAGTCCCCAGCACCCCCTCGATGCAGAAATAAATGAATAAACCTAATTACCTCCCCCTCATTAAACAAACAATACAAGCAGAAAGGCAGTGGCATTTGGCTGTTTCTGGCCAGTGGACTGTGAGCATATGTGTCACTTCCGAGCCAAAACACGACCTTCCAACTCCCTTTCCTCCTGCCATGGCAAACAGTGACAGTTCACATGGGGACCCATTCACAAGCCTGGGTTCCCGCATGACTAAATGGAGCAGAGCCCACCTTGCAACAACCCACGATGGCTTTTCAAGAGCAAGAAGTAAACTGTCAGGAGCTAAGTCATTGAGATTTTGAGTTTGTTTCTTGATGTGGCAGAGCTTAGCCTAGCCTGACAATACAAGACCATTTAGAATCTATGACAAATTCATATGTGTCTGTATGTTAGGTACGTGACTCCTGGTTTGAATGGGTGGTCATAACAACCTTGCATCTGTCATTCAGCTAGCCCAGGAATGTTCAGAGGAGAGACATACGTGAATTTGTTATATATTCGTGAATGTATTCATGAATGAATGAATCGTTGGCTGATCACATAAAACATCTATCTACTTACCTGTTTACCTACTTACCTATATGTGTGTGTTTACATGTGTGTTATATGAATAGATGTATTCTATAATATATTCATAAACATATTTATGAATATATATGTTCGTGAATATA